AGAGAGAGAGAGAGAGAGAGAGAGAGAGAGAGAGAAAGAGAGAGAGAGAGAATTTATTTGGGTTAATAATACTCCCTCTAGCCAAAACCATCTAACAAAACCCCAAAACCCTACATTTGAAAAGCCCTCTTTTCATTTGTTCACTGGGGTTGTCCAAGAGACTCCTGAAACATTACAAGGTATTGCTTATAGCCTATGGCTACCACTAGAGGGAGAAGGTAAGTCACTTCATTGAAGACACTATGATTTTAGACACAGGGCCAAGAGGCTTTTTAACTGAACTGACCTGAGTGCCTTCGGTCTGAGGGCTAGCTTTCATGACACCAGAAGTAGCTAGGCAAGTCTCCAGTGGACAGAGCAACAGTCCTACCCAGTCATAAAGCCTATGATCACCTCACTTTTATAAGATACTGTCTATTAAAAATCTGATAACTGGGTAACCAGCATAGGACAGAACCACGCCTCCTGAGCTTAGCTGACAGGAGGCCTGGGCAGTCTATGGGGCCTCCAGTGGTGGAACCAGTATTTATCCCTAGTGTACAAATGGGCTATGGGAGCCCATTCCCCCATGGAAGGATACTTTCTCAGCCTAGATAAACGGTGGGGAGGGACTAAACCCTGCACCAAATGATGTGACAGACTTTGATGATTTCCCCATGGAAGGCCTCACTCTCCCTGGGGAGTGGATGGGGGATGACATGGGGGGTCAGTGGGTGTCAGGGGAGGATGGGAGGGAGAGGGAACTGGTATTGATACGTGGAATAAGATTGTTTTTAATTTAAATTTTTTAAAAATATGTGTATTCACACACATACGAATTCATACGAAGGCATACACACAATGCAATAAATATAATAAAAAAGAGGCTGTAAACGAGAATAGAGAACAGGGGAAGAGGCTTGAGGGAGGGTATCTGGGACAGGCTGGAGGTGGAAAGGGAGAGCAAAAGTGATGAATGTCTATTTAAATTAAAAACGTTTTTGAAAAAAAAAAAACATGTATGAGCAAAGGAGGCTGTAAGGGAAGAAGAGAGAAAATGATCATCACTAATGCACTGAAAGATGGCTCCGCAGTCATCTCAAATGTTAAGACCTTTCTTATTCCCATGAGAAAATACATTTAAGTTAATAGAAGTCATCATTAGACTCAGATATGGAGGTTCGTACCACAGAATGTGGAAAAGTGGGCAGGAGGACCACTGAAGTTTGATGGCAACCTGAGACTCAGAGTAATATGTTGTCTCAAGAAGGAAAAAGTCACAATGTTATAGGTTGTAATGCAGCATGTAGAGAAATGATTGAGCTTGTTCAAGCTTATATGTACTGATAAAGAAAGAGAAGCAAGTCTTATATTTGGGTGTGGCTTCCCTGAGTTGAGATTTTTTGCCATGCTTTTTCACAGAATCGACACAGACAACGTGTTGACAGGACAATGTCCTCGTGTTTCGCAGGGTTGCTCCAGGAATGGATGCAAAGCAGGCAGTGAACACAAAGGACATGTGGAGGCAATCTCAGGTCCATCACCTGCTTGGTGAAGGGCGCTGTAAGCCAAAACCTTCTTGACCTGTGTTTTCTAGCTTTACCACTCCAGTAATAGTCACTCTGTAGGGGAGAGTGACCAGAGCATGAAAATGTCCTTGTAGTTCTCAGAATGGTGCATACATACTGTCTTATCATGAAAAAAATGGAAGGAAATGTTACACTTATATGAGGAAGAGCTATAAGGGAAGCTATTCCTGTGGGTATTTTGAACCAGCCCTAGATGTGCTTTCTCTGAGGACAGTGGTTCCCACAATAGTCAATGTGGGCAAGAGTCTTTACCATCCATGATGGTGAATGAATATGTTAACACCTCAAGATTCATTGCAACCAAATAGAAAAACTCCCATTAAAAGTACACAATTCTTATTCCTTTACTATGAATATGTTCATGATTTATTTAAAAATCACACAGAAACTTAAAAGAAAATTAGAAAGATTTTTTAACATCTACTTTTTGATATGCGAATTTCTAAAAGAAAATGAAAACCTGTTTCTTCAACTACTTAACTTTAGTATTTTTTAAATCTTTTCAACTGCTGTGTACCTGCTATACGATGCAAAATGTCTGCAGGTATAAGCTGCTCTCCACATTTCAAGGGTAGAGAAAGATGACCTCAAATGGGCATGTATTTCTCACAGACAAGAGGATAAAGAGATCAGACCAAGACATAGAAAGTAAGGAATTCACTTTATTGACAGAGTGATTTCAGAGGGATTAATGATTCTTTAGTTGGCATCAATGGTGTTCTCAATCCAATCAACATAGTTGCAGACCCTGGTGTACACACCAGGGCTGTCCTTCAGGGCACAACCATAACCCCAGGAGACAATACCCTGGAGCTGTCCATTGCAGACCACAGGGCCACCAGAGTCACCCTGAGATGGAGGAAAACAGTGTTTAACAAAGGGGCATGCAGAAGAAGGACCACATTTACTCTGGTTTAAAGATGTTATTCTAGGGGCTGGAGAGATGGTTCAGAGGTTAAGAGCACTGACTGCTCTTCTAGAGGTCCTGAGTTCAATTCCCAGTATCCACATGGTGGCTCGAAATCTTCCATTATGAGATCTGATGCCCTCTTCTGGTGTGCAGGCATACATGGACGCAGAATGTTGTATACATAATAAATAAAATCTTTAAAAAAATGTTATTCTAGCGTCCCTATGTCTCAACTTGTTATCCCATTTTCTCTTCTCACTAATGCATTGAAATGGCATCCAGAATAGACCTCTTCACATTTCCATGGAACCACAACACAAACTTCCTGATCCATAAATACACTTGGGCATTCCACTCTCACTCCTAAGACAACAAGGTATTTGTACGGAAAAGGAACCATTTACCTGGCAAGAATCTTTGCCTCCCTCCAGGAAGCCAGCACAGACCATCTTACTGGTGATTCTTCCAGGATAGGAAGCTTCACAGTCAGCCTGAGGCAACAGGGGGGCATCCAGGCACTGGAGCAGGTCTGGGTTGTTCACTTTGAGGAAAGGAGAAGAAAGAAATGTAATTCGGACAAGACTAGGGATAAATGTTACAGTGTTGTCTACTATGTGACCCCTGAAACTCTCCATTGTAGACCATAGTGCCTCCAGAGTTATCCTGGGATAAGGGAAGACTGTGTTTTTCTTCAAGATATTCAAGCTTCAAATGTTCAGGATGTGGTCTTTTATCCCCTTGAATTCAAAGATATTTCCCACTCTCTCTTTTAAGAGGTTCAGTGTGTTTGGGTTTATGTTGAGGTCTTTGAACCATTTGGACTTAAGTTTTGTGCGTGACGATGTGGATCTATCTACAGTCTTCTACATGTCAGCATCCAGTTACACTAGCACCATGGTTGAAGATGCTTTCTTTTTTTCCATTGTATAATTTTAACTTCTTTGTCAAAAATTATGTGGTCTAAGGTGTGTGGATAACTATCAGGGTCTTCAATTTGATTCCATTGGTAGACCTGTCTTTTTTTTTCTGTGTGTGCCAATACCAAGCTGTTTTCATTACTATAGCTCTATAATAGAGCTTGAAGTCAGGGATGGTGATGCCCCCATATGATCCTTTATTGTACAGGGTTGTTTTGGCTATCCTGGGTTTTTTGTTTTTCCATATGAAGTTGAGTATTGTTCTTTCAAGTTTTGTGAAGAACTGTGCTCGGATTTTTATGGGAATTCCATTGAATCTGCAGATGGTTTTTGGGAAGATTCCCATTTTTAAATATATTGATCCTATATCCAAGAGCATGGAAGACCTTTCCATTTTCTGATAGCTTCTTTAATTTTTTTCTTTGAAGACTGAAAGTTCTTGTCATACAATTCTTTCCCTTGATTGAGTAGAGTTACTCCAAATATATGTCATGTTGTTTGTGGCTATTGTAGAGGGTGATGTTTCTCTGATTTCTTTCTCAGCCTATTTATCATCTATATATTAGAGGGGCATTGATTTTTGACTTAATCTTGTATTCTAAAACTTTTCTGAAGCTGTAGAAGTTCGGTGGTAGAATTTTTCAGGTCATTTATATAAGCTATCATATGAACTGCAAACAGTGAAAGTTTGACTTCTTCCTTTCCTATTTGTATCCCCTTGATCTCTTATTGCTATAGCTAAAACTTCAAGTACAATATTGAAGAGGTATGGAGAGTGGATATTTATTCAAGAAAATTACACCCCAGAATAGTCATTATTGACGTTTTTATTGGAATAAGAGCACATTCTGTATTTGTCCTGTATACATTCTTGGAAAGAGATCATTCTGTGTGCAAATACCTCTATGCTTACCTTAGTACCCTGTGTGTACTGGGAACTTGCAATGCACTTATAGCCTAGAAGCCAACAGTTTATGTTTAGAATCTGGTTATTTATCAGAGGATGTGGAGAAAGTAGATGAAATATCCTACTCACCACCAAAGCTCAATGTGTTGCCCCAGCCAGAGATGAGGCACTGAGTGCCAGCAGGTGCACAGGAGACAGGCAGGGCGACAGTGGCCACCTGGGCCACAGGGGAAGCCAGCTTGATCAGCATGATGTCATTGTCCAGGGTCCTCGAACTAAAGCCAGGGTGCCTGATGATCTTCTCAGCAGTAACAAACTGTTCATTCCCCTCAAGGACATTGATGTTATGCTCTCCCACTCTCACTTGGATGCGGCTGTAGGAAAGAAAAGACAAGGTAGAAACTTCCTCTCCATTACCATAGACATTCCAGACCCCTTTTAGCTGAATAAGTCTGGGATGGGGAGGAGGCCTGGTTTAACATCACAGATATAGCAGGGGTGTGGCATTCAAGCACCGCTGTGAGATCCAATTCCTTTCTACCTCAGAGACAGATAATATAGCTGAAGCGAGGGACTGGAGCTGGAGAATGCTCATCAACCTGCTGCTCCCCTTGGACACACAATTGCTGTGTGTCTTCATTCTTCCTCTGGAAGACTATTTTCTGTTAGGTCTAGTCCTATTTGGGATAAGAATAAATTGGTCTAAAATGTGTTTAATCCCAAAACTCAGGGGGCAGAGGCCCGAAGATCTCTGAGACAAGGCCAGCCAGGTATATAGAGTGTGTTCAAGGACAGTCAAGGCTAAACAGAGAAACCCTATTTCCATGAAAACTAACAAACAAACAAAAAAGAATACTTGGTCCGTGTAACTATGGCACCTCACAACTTGTTGTGGATTTTGACTTTCTGGGTTTCTTTCTGAATTACAGTCCTATGATTCAGATGCATGTTCAGGTGACATACCCTCTAGTACAGAAACTGACACTCGGTTTTCTCCATAGAGTGAAAAGAATTGAGATAGGAAGTTTTTAAAAGCATACAGATTCTTCACAATCATTGAAATCTCTGCATTCATCTCCCTGCTACCGGACCCAGCAGAGCTATTTGTGAAAGTCTTTGTGCAACTTCGTTTTGGTTCCTTCAACCCTAAAATCAAGCTTCCTTGTTTTTGTTATCAATATCCCTGATTGACTTTGGATGTTTCAGGTGTGTAAAAGGCTTCCTATTCTGTAACCTTATTCTCTCCAACCTCATGAAGTTGTAGTCTGCAGTTTCTCTTCTCTGAGTCTTCTCATTTAGCCAAAAACCTCAGCTGGTGCTTGATCTAATCCCATCCCCCTATAAACACCAATTATGTGTTCTATAAAGACAGGGCCCATCACTTACGTTTTGTAGCAGTGAGCTGCAGACACCACCCATTGGTCATTGATGAGGGAGCCTCCACAGAAGTGGTAGCCAGAGTTCAGAGACACCTGGTAGGGGACAGAATTCTCCTGGCAGGTGTATCCTCCAACAATCTTATCATCATCAACAGGGAAAGCAACTTGAGTAGAGAGAAGAAGAGAGAAGACAATTCATCATGTTGCTGGAAACTGAAGCCTTCAGTCCTATGGCAAACTTAAGCTAATTAGGAACCTTTGTTGATTACAAAAACTGAAGGCAAAATGGTTAATAGTAGGCCTATGGTGGCTTATGGTTGTCCACAATACAGAACACTGCAAGATAATAGAAAAATACTCTTTAGGTGACAGTGTTCTGATGGGGATCAAGGGACAGGGCAAGGGATGCTCTCAGCATGCAGGAATGGGGCACAAGGAGGGTTGTCTGATTTATAACTTGCTTTGATCTCATCATTCATTACCATCCTGTGGCTAACAGAGCTTAAGGGGATTAGGATACTGAAACTGTCTTAGAAAATATCCTCGGTATGTAGAGCTCAACATACCAACATTCTGATATATACCAGTAATGTCCTTCCTAATACTAAGTGATTGCTCCAGGCACATACTCCTGTTTCATTTCAAGGACCCTGCCATTTCTAACCTCTTTGATCCCATAATAAACAACAGTAGAAGAGGTAGGAAAGGTGAAGCTTGCAGAGAAGCCAGAAAATATAGGGACAGAGTTGCTGTAGGAAGATATGAGACATTGGAGGGCAGACAGAATAGAAAAGCAGCTTTGCTGGAAGTGTTTATGGCAGAGGGAAGATCAGGACTTGGGTTAAAGCATTGAACTCACTAGCAGCTCCCACGAGGGCCAGGAACAGGAGTGCACTCATGGTGGCAAAAGATAGTGTGTTCTTGGCAAAGCCTGCATTTATACCCTGTTGCAAGCAGAAGGAGGTATTGAGGGGAGGGCTGCACTGCTCCTACACAAGCACACCTGTGAGTTTCCCATTCCCAGGTCTTACATCATCTCTTCTCTATTTTTCCACTCTGTGGCTGAGTGAGAAACATGTGATAAAGAAAGTTTTCTTCTTGGTGTAGGTAGGAAGAGCAGCTGATTCTTTAAAGCAAGCTGAGGTTCAAACACAATAGAACTATAGACTGTCTGTGTAGCTGGGCCCTCCCAGGCTGATATAAGATGTTGGGTGGTAGAGAATGGTCATTGTCTTTAGCCATACCTAGAATTCATAGAAACTGTTTCATTTACTTTCAAGAATTCCTGGCATTGTGCTTTTGGTGGGTATTCAGGGGCCTAGAGCCTCAAGAGAAGAAAAACAATGTATCTTGATGTAATATCTGTGACCTGGTGATTCTTATCTCTAGTATAAACTGTCATATAGAAAGGTCATATCCAAGAGCTTTGGTAATCAGAATTAGAGTATGAAGCAACAGGATGAAGGGTTAAATAGATATGCTTTGTAATGTGGGCTTCCACCTGACTCTCCTTTCTACCACAGCTCATACACAGAAAATTATTTGAAGCATGAGAGATGAAGTTTCAGTAGGAGCTTCCTCCATGTGTTCCAGAGATAGACCAACACTACATTCTCCATTCCTCTCTGTCCTGAACTTTGACTCGCACTTTTCATGCTTTTGTGGATCCAGTTCTGGCATCGTCATGTTTGTGTCAGCCATCTGCATCAAAGATTATTCCCCCAGTTTGAGTTAGAAGTCCATATTCCAGATCAGACAATAGGAAGACCTTGAACCATGGTCAGTCTTATTTCTGTTCAGAGGAATCCTTCCTGTGGAAGATCCATGAATGAGTTCTAAGAAAACCACCTAGTCCCAGGCTTAAAATTTATTGACACTTAACCTGTCCAGAAGGAGTGTAAGGAAAAATGTTATGTGAGATTATATTTAATTTTAGCCCACAACTTCAGGGACCCTGCTATTGGATCTATTTACTTTCTAGTTAGTCTGATGTCAGTGTTGTTGAGGGACAAGAAAGAGCAATTTTTGTGACTGAATTCTCTAAATTGCAGAAAACAAATGTTCTAGAGTTGGTGGTCAGAGTGGCAACATCTGAGTTCAGGATCTTGTGATTAGTTTTGACCAACCAAGCATGGAGGTTGGAGAAAGAAATTGATAACATAATATACTGGGGGGAAAACAACCTTGTGAGGCCTGGTGAGTATCTTCTGTGCCCATCCCTGGCATGACTGGCTCAGCCACACAACAGACTCAAACGGATTCCTTTTTTCTAAAGAAACTATTTATAATGATGTATGATCTTAAGACTCAAAAAAGATATGGAAACTCTTGTGTAGTATTAAATTTGTCACAGGTGGCAAAAGGCTATTGCCAAGCTTTCTGGAAGTCCCTAGGATACAAGTTAAACATCTGGCTCCACCTGCCATTTTTCCTCCTTGGCAGAGTGTGAAAACCAAATTTATATTTACATGGCATTGTGTTTCAGAGTCTTACTTTGCCATGACCTCTTCACCCACCTTGGCATGTCTAACCCAGGGACACACATCTTGGTGCTCAGAGCCAGCTGACAGAGTGTTATGATGTTATGGTTAGCTTGGAAAGGAAGAAATTTTCATATAATGTAGTTAATATGTTGCTGTTTTACTTTCTTGCCTGGTGTATTTATAGGATTACTGCTTTGGAGGAAAAAGTCAGATATTTGTTCTAGCACTTCTACATTTCAGTATATACTAGCCAGCTGGCCTGCAAGGGGATTATCCCCAATACATATGGAAAATCATCTTAGCCAGAGGGAGGATAACAGTGATTGTTCTCACTGTGACTCTGTCTGTAAAGCAATATGGAAGGGCATGATACATCGGTGTTCTATAGCTGTGGATTGAAGTTTAACCATTTAATATTTTGTGCTATTTATCACCTGAGATGAACTTTCTCCAAGCTGTCAGGAATCATAGGCTAAGAAGACTACTGTAGATCATAACTATTACCTCGAATGAGGTGAATAGGATAGATTCACCAAACTGGCTGTTTACAGTCCATTTGAAAGTCTGTGCTATTCCTGATCCCATTCATCCTAATATACAAATTCTCTCATGTCCTTTTTAAAAAAACATTCTCTTAGTCTTCATTCAATGCTTAGCATGTTAAATAATTGCGTTTCAATTTTAGAAATAGTGGTTAATTTCTCTGTGTCTATTTCACAATCTAGATTATAGTCTTTTGTGAACCCTGTATTTATTCTACCAGTCTGCATTTATAGATGACCAAGTGGGCTTTACAGTGTGAGTTTTAAGGTTTATAAGTTTATTCAACCACTAGTGTAAAATTGAACATGGTAGTCAGACTCTAGACTGGCACACTCAGGCAAGAGCTATCTGGTTGCCTTGCCCTTGTGCTAGCTATACTTGCTCCCATCTCATGATGAAGTAGTTGACAGATACTATTATCTCATTTTCAGATATGAAGTATCTGCCTCTCTGAAGAGAATTGACTTCTTCACATCTGTTTGAGAAATAAATGTGGAAATGATATCTGAACCCCCTTACTCTTAAAACTGAGTGTGTTTCCCATTGTGTTGTTAAAGAATGGAGTGTTTCTGGTTTCACTGAAGTTGAGTAAACAGATTAAGAATAAATTTTCTCTTTATGCCCAAAGATAAGTATAGTCTTAACTTCTCATCAAGGTAAATTATCTTTGCAACAGATAGTAATCACTAAGAAAACCACAATGAATCAAAATGCAGTATTGTGGAGCCCAGTCACAGTGACTATATCTACAATCCTGTACCTGAGGGTCAGAGCACATTGTAAAAGAGGGGGGAAGAAAGACTCCAGGAGTCAGATGATGAGGGAATTTGTTGTGTAAACTTTTTTTCCTGTAATAATATCAGTAGCTATGCCCTTAATGTCTCACCAACATGACTGCGCAAATGAGCTGAATGAGTACTACACTAGCTGACAAGCCAAAGTAGATGGGAAGAAAACCATGATGACTCAAACCTACACAAAGAACTACAAGCACCCAAGGAAAGCTGGAGAGGGGAGAGGCATCTTCCCCAGGAAAAAACACACTAATTGGTTTTCCAGTGCCAAATGGCAAGTCCTGAAAACATCCATAGAGGAACATTATAAAGACTTATCAGATTATACACAGAAATATACATATGTATGCAAATAGCCATATATAACAATAAAAGAAGAGATAGATAGATCATGATTATTAAGGAAAAAGGGAAAGGGGAAATGTAATTATATTATAATCTCAAAAATAATTAAAAGCAAAAAATCTTTTCCTTATTCTTGAGAATTTCGTGTATTTATTCAATGAAACATGATCACATTTAACCCCATTTCTCCTTTTTATCCCTCTATTTCCCATGACCTGTCTGTTTCCCAACTTTACATCTTCTTTTTTGATAATCATTAAATCCAATGCTGTCCATATGATCAATGGATAGAAATAGCAAAGTAAAGAGTAAAATTACTGCTTTTTGCAGGTGATATTATCCTATACCAAACAAATACTAAAAAACGGAAGCAGAAATTTATGGACATGATAAATACCACCAGATTGTATGATAAGATAGCAGTAGCCTTTTCATAGAGCAATAATAAACCTAATGAGAAAGAAATCAGGGTATAATGCCTCAGACTCAGTTACATCAACAAAGACTAGTGATACTTATCCACAATGGTAAAAGACATCCATAATAAACATGATAGAACCTTAAAGAAAGTAATTAAAGAAAAAGTATGTTACCCAAGTTGATTGGCACAGTCAATTTAATTCCACCACAATTCTAATGCTATCCTTCAAAGAACTAGATGAAACAAAACTATAATCCATACCAACCTGAATGGTCAAAGTAATCCTGAGTAGAAAGAAAACAGCAGGCAACATTACAGTACCCATCCAAGTCATGATACACAGTCATTGTAACAAAAAAAACACCCTAGTACCAATAAAACCTACATATATACATCAATTTAATAGACTAGAGGACTTAAAAATAAACCCACATAGCTTCATCTACCTGATAATTACAAAGGTGCCCAAAACACACTCTTTAGAAAAAATAACTTCCTCCACAAATAGTGCTGGGAAAAGTATACCTAAAAAGAACAGAAAAATCAGAAAATCCCAAAGCTCAGACATCTGCTGCTAGATAGTGTCCTCTAGACATGACAGGGAAAATGCACCCATGTAATGTCGACCATATGGTTCCCTGAGAAAAATCAGCATTATGACAACATCAGTTGACATGCCAACATAGATTGGTGAAATTCTATGTGGTGCAGGATCTGGATGAAGAACTACAAGCAGTCAGTGGCTATGGAGAGAGGGATAAGCAGGTTCCTGCCTGGACAGCCTTCTCCCTTGTTTTTCTAGTTCCAAGTCATCAGCCAAGGACACATGTATGTATGTATGAATAATGACTTGATATGTTGCTTAGATGCGTTTTCATAGTACAAACACATATACATACAGGTATGATATGTACGTAACAATAATTTAAAAAGATAATGATAGTGGGGTCATGGTAGGAGTTGGGGGAGGAAGGGTGGAGCAGGAGTGATGTAGAAGAAGTGTCCATGCACGAAGTTCTCAGAAAAGGAAGAAAATACACACGAAGAAAAGATAAATATAGAGCCACATCTTTCGCCCTCGACAAAAAACAAATCCAAAGTTGTTCAAACACATGAACTTAAGAATGTGAAACTTCTGGATGAAAACATTGGGAAAGCACTTTGGTACACAGGCATCCACAAGGGCTATCAACTACAGTATTCTGATATTTTGATTACATTGATTATCAGATTCAATAATTCAGGAATTAATAGCAAGAACAGCCGAATGGAACTGAGTGAAAATAAAAGTTTCTGCACAACAAAGTAAACCC